GCGCCAGGTGTAAGAACAGAGGGTGCCACAGGTGCCACACAAGTCCACAGGTGGGTTACCTGACCTTGCTGAGTTGTGAAGCCGAACCCCTGGAGCCTTGCTGGGGCTTCTCTGTTAGCTCTGAGACCGCTTGAGCAGTGTTTCCTGTGGGTTCTGTGTACATATTGCTGATTGGGAGGCCATGGGTGACAAATTATTCTCTGCAGGAAACCCAAACAAGACAACATTCAGCGGGATTTCTTAAAACAAAGCTCTTTGGAACGTCTCCCTGGCAGATCAGCAGGGCCCTTCTGTGGAGCCACCACAGACAGCTGCCTGGACTGCTCTCCTTACCAGGTGGCCCCACCCAGAAATAGAGGGTGGACCTTGCTCAGTTACTGAACTTAGCACGCTACAGTGGTTTGGTAGGAAATTTTTGAAGGAGGAATATGATGGTTTAGCAGCAATTGAACCGCTCCTCTCAGGTGTCAAAAAGGGGACCGGTGTGAACTGGGAAGTGATTGTGTGTGTGTGTGAGATGGTGGTTGTCGGTGTTCTGCCTGGAAGCTGGAGAATGGATAAGTTCTGACTTTAGAATCCTGTGCACTTTCCTGGGACATAGGCCTTCAAGGGCCTTTTCCTGTTTGAGGTGGTGCATCACTTCTTGAAGGTGGCCTGGGCCTGTAGAACAGCCGGTTACTAAATTTCTTGGGTATGGCTTACTTTCTGTAAATAAAGGGAATTTCACTGGGCCTAGGAGGAAAGGACTTATTGAAAAGCAGATTGACCCATGTTGCCAGCTAAGTCATCTTTGTGATTGCACTGAATGGATGGCTATATTTTTGAAGGACACTGGGTAGGATTCTCTACTTAGAAATATCTCCCCTACAACTAGCCCCAAATACCTACAGTTTGAAACAAAGAGCTTTTCCCCACACATACCTCCTGTTAAGGTTCTAGTCATGGAATTATCGAATGCCAGAAGAGGCTTTGGGGTGTTCTAGTCATAACCCTTTACTTTAGAGATGAAAAGACAGGCCCAGAGAAAAGAAGTGACCCAAAGTCACCAAGCAGAGACTAGAACCTGACATGAATAGAAGGTAAAATGTGACAATGTCTTAAAAATGTATAAAGCAAGTGATGTGGGCCTTTATAAGATGGAGAAATAATTACCTGCTGGATGCGTGGTTAAGGAATCAGGAAGGAAGGGACATCGGACATGCATAGGGCTTCAGTAGAAGGGCATGTATTGAATGTAATTTCAGGTAGAGAGAACACCATAAAGAGCAATGGTGGGGACATGTTTAGGCTTCAGGGACTAACAAGTAGTCCATTTGGCTAAACTGCAATGCCACCATCTCATAAGAAGTGTAGAGGTCATCTCCTGTAATCTTGCAGCAAGCCTGTAAGGTGAGAGGTAGCCTCCACAGTGTGGTTAAGTGGCCTACGAAGAGCCTGCTGATGGCAGAACCAGGACTTAGGCCAGATACTTAGATGAAAAACCCAGTGTCCTTTTCACACCACCACAGTCTGCCCTCTCGTTGCTAAGGGTTTTAGTGTTAGAGGATGCATTGTAGAGGGTTTCAAATGCCCAGCTAAGGAGTCTGGACTTGATTTAGTAAGCAACAAGTAGTTATTTAAGGTTTTTGGTGAGGAAAACATGATTAAAGCTGTGCTTTAGAAATTTAATCTGGTAGAAGTGTTAGGATGCATTAGAGACCTAGGTAACTAAATCAAGGAGGCTACTTAGAAGAGCATGGGCATAGTTTGGGGTCAAGGTCATAGGAGACTGGACTAGGATAATCTGAGGGTTGAATAAGTTAAATACCTTGTCCAAAGTCACATGAGGTTCAAATTCAAGTCTGTTTTTAATGGCCGTATCCTGGAACCAGTTTTCTAATGAATTGGAAGGAAAGCCTAATATACGTAGAACAAGGAGAGAGTGCTGTTGTATATAATCCCTTAAGGCTAATTTATGGGTTGTTAAAAAATAGTGCATATATATCTAATGTGCACCTAGCCTGTACTAGGTTGGGAATGGGAATGGGTGGTGTATGCAAAAGAATTGTAATGGAGCTAAATAAAAACCATCCATTTGTCCAAGTAGTTTAAATAGGTTTTAAATGGGGGAAGTTATTAAAAGGTATTTGTTGGTCCAAGAAGCAGTGACTTAGCCTTTATGTCAGCATCAGGTTTAATATCCACCAAATTAGGCAGAAGTTAGCACCAGTGGCCATTTCCCATACTTGTTTCTCGTGCCCAGGAGCCTCAATTGTAAAGATTTTTTAAAACTTGGGGATATTTATAACTCCTGCTAATACCTTGACCGTCTATATACATTTTCATTGTTGTTGTTGGGTGCCATTGAGTTGATTTTGACTCATAGGGACCTCATGTGACAAAGTAGAACTGCCCCATAGTGTTGTCTAGGCTGTAATCTTTATAGGAGCCCGTCACCAGGTCTTTCTCCCACAGCCGAGTTACTAGATGGGTTCGAACCGCCAGCCTTTTGGTTAGCAGCTGAGTGCTTAACCGTTTGCTTCCAAGTCTTATATTCCCCCCAACCCCTCACCTAGATTCCTACTCCTTTTGAGTTCCTGACACTTTGTTGCCACATAAACTATTCGCATTTGGACTTCTGGGCCCCTTACCCTTAGGAACAAACTACTTGTCCCTCAAACTCTTGTATGAGTCATTCTCCTTCATGAGTGGTGGGTGACTTTTCAGTCATTTCCCAGTAACGTGCAGGGCAGTTCTCATCTTGACACTGCAAGTGAAAAGTGACAAGTGTCACTGCTCTGCGCCTCCCTGCTTGTGCCAGGTGTAATATATTATGTGCCTTGCCTCGAAGTCAAGTTTCCTGTGTGTGCTATGTCGCCACTGGGCCTGACAGCACTCCCTGCGCAACGCCCCAGCCCCCAGTTGATTTTCATTCCATCCTGGCATCCGTGTGTTTCTTCCAGGGATCCTTATTAAGTACTTGGGACAGTACATACCCTCTCCATTCTAACTGTTCTCAGCTGAGGGCTAAGGCTCACACGTATGCTGTACTCATCCATGTGTTTTAGGTTAAACACACAGACTTTGGGTAAAACTCCAAACTTTTGGGTGTGGCTCCTGCAGTCCAGTTCTGCTTGTTGTAGATACAGGGAGTTTTAAAAATGGCACCAAGCTTGTGTCTGTTTCAGAGGTCTGAAGCCCAGCTTACTATGCTCTTGGTCATCTGGGATGGTTGTGTGTCTGAGAAGATCTTCAAGGAGTTGACGAAGAAGGCATTGAGAGCAGAGGCATTGTTGACAACTGTCGCTATTCCAGGGTCCTGTGAACGTAGTATAAAACTGAAATAAAAAATAAGTGAGAATGTAAGATATAGCCACCCAAAAGCTTCTTCTGAGGCCACCTTTCAATGTAAAGATTTCATAGAAATGAGGAGAGAAGAGACAGATTCTATTGGCAAAAGTAATATCCTGGAACTACAAGGGATCTCAGAAAGCCACTGTTATAACATCCCTCAAATACTAGGTAGAATTCTACAGAAATTTTCAAGGAAGTTGTTGTGTAGCTAGTTTGAGAGATCTATTTTTTCTGCTTCATCTTTTCAGCAGTCTGCTAGCCACCTGTATTCACCCAGGCCTCTCCCTCATTTGATGACAGTTTGTGTGAGCTGAGACCACATAGCTCTTTGCTGACCCTGAAGAGCGGCTGATGGTTATGGTTTCACAGCCCATGACTCTCCCCCTGGAGCTCCCCACTCCTGCCCGGGGCTCTTCTGTCTATCTAGTCCATTTCTAGTCAGGCAACTTCCTTTCTCTCCCATATTTCCCACTTTTCTATATTCTTGACCACTGGCCCAGAACAAAAGAGAGGACTTTCTATTCCTCCCTCTGCCATTCATTTACCTGTGCTGGTAAACTACAGCCTACGGTGTTGATACTGAGCCAAGCAGAGAAGGCCACCTGCAGTGGCTTCTCTGTTCTTTCTTCTATAGCCCACTCTGACCAGGAAGCCACAAGAGCTAGTGTAAGGCATGTAAACATTGGCTGGTGCCAGGAGACCTGGGTTCTAACCCTACCTTCACGCTTCTCAATTTCCTCATTTGGAAAAGAAGGAGGTTGGATTTGTTGATCCTTCACTCGCATCTAATACAGTAGTATACACTGAGTATATACTTTGTGCTGGACGGTTGGAAGCCCTGGGAATTCAATGTAAAGTACTTGCCTTCCTGGAAGTGGGCATGTGAACTGGTAGTAGGTGGTTGAGCATAACCCATACGTGCTATTCATTTCCTAAATGTGGCTCAAGCATTCAAGCATTCCTACTTGAATGTCCTATCTGTTTTAAAGGGATAATACAGATGTGTTTTCATTGGCCTGATGTAGAGTGTCTTTTGCTTTCAACCTCTCAAATCCTTACTGCAATTTACACCTGTTTTATCTAATTCTGGAAAACTTGAGGCAAGATCAGCCTGGGTTAATAGCATGCCCTTTGTGATATGTCTATATGAAGAAAAAATGTGCATAACTGTGCCTGGTGGTATGCTAGGCTCAAATACAAGAGAAAAAAAAAAAATCCTTGTTTTTGAAGAAATTATAGCTTATGTGGTGTCACAAGATGGCCATGTTACAGAAACAGGTGGGATTATATAACCAAAAGTGTATGTGTGTGTGTGTATATGTATGTACATTCTTAGAGGATGTATATAAGGGAGTGGTCTAGGATGCATTGCCCCCAGAGAGTACTCAAGAGAGGTGACCAGCCGGTCGCACCTCCCTTCCTCTGAGTCATGGAGAGGGGTGTGTGCTGTTCATAAGCCCTCTCCTAGAACTTCTTCCTGCCCCCCGCTTCAGATCTTGTGTGGGCACGTGAGGGAGGGTGGAGAATTTTTATGCTGTCCCTTCAAATTTATCTGTAGGAGAGAGAGAGATGCTTCTGATCAGGCTCAGGCCCTTGTCAGCAGAGTCCCTGGAAGGCAACAGAGCCTTTCCACGACCAGCAACTGACCAGAGCTGTTTCCCTTCCAGAGATGAGAAGAACCAGTCCATCATAGTCAGCGGGGAGTCTGGAGCCGGGAAGACAGTGTCAGCCAAGTATGCCATGCGTTATTTTGCCACAGTTGGCGGCTCAGCCAATGAAACCAACATTGAAGAGAAGGTCCTGGCGTCCAGTCCCATCATGGAGGTAAAACCTTCCAAAGTCCCCAGCCTTCCTGACTTGAGTTTTTTCTGCTGGCAGCTAGACTGCTGGATGTTGAGTCCTCCTTGACTGATCACAAGAATCCTTGGAAGCAACTGACTTAGTCAGCCTGAGGGCCCATTATCCACTGTTTGGAAACAATTATAAAGGTGCCTGAAAACCACAGATTTGAGAATATGTCCTTCAGGTCCCTAGTATTGGGCAGAGTGTCCTTTTCATGTTCTCCATATTCCTTGACTCTGCTGTATTCTTGAATGTTGTAGTCACAGTCCTTCTCCACCCACCCCCACCTCTGCTGTTGTTCTCCTTCTCTGCTGCCATCATGTCAGAAAATCAGTGCTCTCCCAAAACCATTATATGCTTTGGAGGGCCACCGAGTCAGGAAGGCAGTTCTCATGGTGGGTGGGGAAACTGATGCAGAATATTCTTCTTTTTCCTCAAGAAAATATCTGGATATTTTGTCTTTTTGTGGGGAGGGTGGAGAATAATGGTATGTGATAAAATAGCATCTGTTGAACATCCTCAGAGAACAGTTACCTGTGATGGCCCTGGCAGGTCCTGTCTTGTATATCTCTATTCTCTCTGACATAGCGAAGACTGCATTATAGGGGCTGGGGTTACATGGGCTCAGAGCGATCGATGCAAGGACAGGGGCAAAGATATTTCCTAAAACTTAGATCTTACCATAAGCAATCATGTTTGAGAGTCAGAACTCCATTTCTGTTTGTTCTCTTTCCTGTTTAAAGACTTCATTCTGATAGAGTGGAACTAAATGTCTGCATACTCCCTGGGCCAGCTCTTATTCCCTGCCTTTGAAGCTGAGGCTCTTCATTATTGTCTGGGTTATAGTCTGGTAGGAGTGGGCCCTGTTTTCAGCTCTGGGTAGCCCCCTTTGTTTTGTTGAGAAGGGTTAAAGTTTATTAAGGAGCCCTGGTGACACAACAGTTAAGTGCTCTGCTGTCAACCAAAAGGTTGGTGGTTTGAACTCACCCAGCAGCTCCACAGGAGACACACCTAGCTATCTGCTCCTGTAAAGATTACAGCCTAGAAAACCCTGTGGGGCAACTCTTCTCTGTCACACGGGGTCACCGTGAGTCAAAAATCAACTCGATGGCACACAACAACAACAACAACAAGGTTTATTAAGAAGGTTGAGGCCACAAGCTGCCATGATAGCATCAGGCTTACCCTGAAGAGCCCTGAGCCCCATCAACTGAGACACAAGTCACCAAGGTGGGTTTGTCTTCCAGATTATTTTGGAGCCGAGGGGAGCAGGAACCTGCCTGGACTTTCCCAGGTCCCATCTCTCTCTCTTTTCCTTTACCAAGTGCAAGAGTAAATTCTGAGTCTTGAGTCATAGGATTTTATGGATTATCCAGGCAAAATCTTTAACCTACAGAGATGCATTATCTGAAGAACTTTCATTCTTTACTGAGTAGTAGGACATCACCTGCTCACTAAGAGTTAGACAAAAGCAAGTTTCTTTATCTGTTATATGAAATGGGAAATGGTCAATACAGGTGAAGGCATTTTTACCAACAGGAAAAACTTTTATTCTAGTACAGTGGTTCTGAAACTTGAACGTACATCAGAATCACCAGGAGGGCTTGTTCAAGCACATATTGCTGGGCCTTAGCCCCGGAATTTCTAATTCAGAAGGTCTATGGAGGGGTCCAGGAATTTTTATTTCTCAGAAGTTTTTATAATGATGCTGATGGTCTGGGTGCCACTCTTTGAGAATCTCTGACCTGTTAAAAAGGTGAGAAGGGCTTGCTGGAAAAATAGTTAGAAAATATTGAAGAATAAATCCCCTAGTATCTTGCTGATAATCATTCAACATTTTGTTCTATTTCCTTCCAGCTTTTTTCACTAAACTTTGCAGTTTAAGCCTGTCCTCTATCATTAACTTTTTATAAACTGTCTTACTGGCTGCAAACATATGTTAATGGATGGTTTTACTATAATTTGTTTGAGGTATGATGAATTGCTTTTATATGGCCATTCTAGCCTTGTAACTCCCACCTAATGATTGGGTAGGACTATGCAAATAAGGTGTTTGTGGCCAACCAAATGGATTGGACAGCTTGCTGCTGATGCAAATATGGTGCATGGCACCCTTATGGGAGTGGAACCATGCAAACAAAGTATATGGAACCCTTACAAAGGGATTGGTCACTTTTGCCATCCCACTAGGCTTAAAATGAGCCATCCCAGAGGCAGAAAAGGGGGGCCTCATACCACCAAGAAGAAGAGATAACAGCAGAGCGTGTCTTTTGGACCTGGGGTCCCTGTGCTAAGGACCTCCTAGACCCAGGAGACAGAGAGCTGTATCACCAGATATGGCACAAGGCAGCGAGAAGCGGCAGCAAAGAAATGGCAGCAGCAGAACCAGGAGACCAGTGTGAGACAGCACAGTGGGCTTCCTGGCCCACGAAGCAAGGTGGTTGCAGCAGATGTGCTAACCCACAGAGTGAGAGAGCTGAACGCCTTTGGGCAGGAGGCTTCCTGGCAGAGTGGGATGCCTCTGGGCACTTGTCAGAGGAGTTAGGCTTGCCCACCCATGGAGCGAGATAGCTGAGCGCCTTTGGGCCAAGGCTTGCTGGTGGAGTAGGGTGCCTCTGAGCACTTATTGACAGCTAAAGAGCTTTCTAACACTTGCCCAAGTAGGGCAGAGGCCAGGCCGAGGGCCAGAGAGAGGCCTGTCTGCGAGCACAGCTGAGAAGAGGCTGTCCTGATTGAAGAATTGTATCCTGAGTCGTCCCTGATCCTGAATTGTAACCTATTACTTCCGTAATAAACCCCATAGCTGTGAGTTCTGTATAGCCATTGCAATGAATTATCAAATCCAGCAGAGAAGTAGAGAGTGCCATGGGAGGGATGGCTGGCGTTGGAATTGGTAAAAAGGTTGGAGGGTGGAGGTATGTCTGACCTCCACCTCATAGCAATCAACCTTGGGTTGTTGATCTTGATTCTCTCTCCTTCTCCTTGTGAAGTTAGATGAGGAGATTGACACTGCCACCATGCCATTTTTACATTGTTTAATCCTCTACTGTCAAACATTTAGTTGGTAGCCAATTATTTTCACAAGGTTAATTCTTAGCCCCAAGTTTCACGACCTGGCTGTGGCCCCTGTGCAGAAGGTGTTCAAAGACCATGGCCTTGACCTCCCCTGGACCATCTACCGTGCCTATATTGAGACAGCTAAGAAAGCACTCTACAATTAGCATCACATTTCCACCTCAAATGTGACTGAAGCCAGGCTTTCAGCTGGTTTGCTTTGCTCCTGGGTTTCAAAAATCAATTAGTCTTTTAGGCAGTAAGATTTCAAAGACACAGTATCTTTGCTTTCAGAAATAGAACAAGTAGTTATTCTGGACAAAATAAAGAAGGGAAGAAACCTGTTTGATCTCTGGTGATGGGACAAAGAACTTGCTAATCAAGATGAGAATTTAGTGAAGGCAGATCACCACATTACTAAACATGTATGAGACACTGGTGGCATGCTTTTTCAATTACAGTGGTCTGAAATTATCTACTGTTTGCAGTGTCCATTGTGGCCTGAGTAGGCTGGTAGACTGCAGGGAGACAGGGCACTTTGGCAAGGGAGAGCAACACTATTATGCTTTGAATCGTGTCCCCTAAAAATATGTGTTGTAAATCCTAACTTCTGTGCCTGCGGTTATAATCTCATTTGGGAATGAGTTGTCTTTGTTATATTAATGACAGGATGAGTATAGGGTGTGTCTTAAATCTCTCTTTTTTGAGATATAAAAGAGATTAAACAAGCAAATGAGAGAAGTAGAGATGAGGGAAGAGAGATGCCAAGACACATGAAGATCTCCCAGGAGCAGAAACTCAAAAAGAGACAAGGATCTTCCTCCAGAGCCGACAGAGAGGGAAATCCTTCACCTAGACCCAGCGCCTTGAATTCAGACTTCTAGCCTCCTAACTGTGTGAGAAAATAGATTTCTGTTTGTTAAAGCCATCCACTTGTGGTATTTCTGTTATAGCAGCACTAGGTAAACAAGACACCCACACACAAAAATACACGTGAGGTGGTCCAGTTGCTTAGGTCTAAGGAGAAGGGGAGTATGCATGAAGCAGCCCAAGATTATGAGATGTTGTTAAATAAGTGCTACAGTGGTTTGGGGTCAAAACATTAATTTTCTACATTGTGCAAATTGGTACAGTACTTTAAAAACTGTGGGTAAGGCCTTAGGGCTCGTTCTGTCCAATGTAGATTTAGCCATCATAGTGGCTGTCCCTCAAGCTGTTATTAAGTGTTATATTTGAGAGGAATCTTGGATACAATCACAGAAAGGAAGAACTGCAGCCAGGAAGAACCCTGGGTGGAATTAGAGTTGTTGCCAAGCAGGGAAAGAGACTTTTGCATCGCTAACATCTGAAAACCCAACCTCTCGGAGATTTCGAGTCTAGCTGGGCCCTTGTATCAGGAAGCTCAGTTTTGTGGCTCTTTGGAGGTTTATAACCAACACAAGGCATGTCTTAATCAAGTGACAGCTGATTACTGATTACCCTGTCCCTGTCCTGGGGAAGGATTGCACCTCCCAACAAGCAGTCAGTTATGGTCATGTCATCATCTCATTATTTCCCCAGCTCAGCCACTGCAGACGCCTCCCGGGGAGACCAGGCGTCCAGGGCAATCGGAGGAGGCAGAATTCCCAGTGGGCTGCACTAAGTGGCAGTTGTGTGAATTAAAGGCGACTTGAGGATGGATTGGGCTTGGCTAGGGTGGATTGGGGTGATTTATCATCAACGTCAGCACTCCCTGACCCCATTCTGTTTAAGAGCTTGTCAGCATCCTGGGAGTGATTTGTTCACCAGTCTGCACTGATTAAAAGCACATTGGTAATCAAGAGACTGTTAAAGCAGGGACAGAGCCCAAGTCCAGGCCAGAGGAGTCATGCAGCTTCTTGGAGTGACTGGAGCCTGTGGGCATGCAACTCTGGGAGCCACAGAGACACCCCCCCATCCTGGAGCAAGAAAGAGGGGGTGGGGTACAGCGAGCAAAAGCAATAGAAACTAAGACCAGAGATGTCATTTTCAGGATTTGAGTTTTGTTTTGTTTAAGGCAAAGAAATAAGAAGACCTGCAGTTATTAGCCCGTTCATATACGAATCTAAGAATCTGCCCCCCAAAGTACCTTAAATGATCTTATCTCCTCTTGTTTTCTTTCATATACAACTCTGACCATTTCACACTTGTCCGTTCTCTAATAAACTCCGTCCCTTTGCCCATGCTGTATTCATGAATGTAACCCTGTCCCCTGCTCCTTTCTGACAGGTAAAATTCTACTCGCCCTTTAAGATCTACCTCAGTTTTTCACTTCTTAAAGCCTTTCCTATTCTGCTAGGCATGGTTAATTGTTCCCTTCTCTGTGTTTCCGTACTGCTTGGTACATGCTTCATTTTTGTACAGTCCCAACTATATAGAAATTGTGTGTGCCAGTCCATTTTTGCTTTACTGTGTATTCATGTACGCATAACAACAAAGAAGGGTGTTCTGATATGTCCTATATAAATGGTTTTATATTTCATCCACCATTCTGTAACTTGCTTTTCAGTCAACATTTTAAAAAAATTTATCCATGAACTATGCTTTAGTTCATTTATTTTAATAAATGAACTCTATAATACACCATTTATGAATATATCTGTTCCCCCTACTGATGACTATTTTGGTTGTATTTCTTTGTTGTTGTTAAATAGATTGCTGCATTAGACAGTCTTGTGCACATCTGTTCATGCACTTAAGTGAGAGTTTGTCTAGGTAATATATAGAGGTAGAATTATTAGGTGAGTTCATGTTCAGTTCTACTAGATATGACAAGTTCTTCAGAATGGTTGCTCCAGTCTGCATTTGAACCAGCAGTGTATGAGAGTTCCTGTTTCCTCACATCCTCACCATTATTTCACAGTACCAATGTTCTTAGTTATTGCTACTCTGGTGGGCTGTCGTGTTAGTCTGCATTTCCCTGATTACCACTGAGGCTAAGTATTTTTTCTTAAATGTTTATTGACTATGTGAGTTTCTTCTTTGAATTCCTGTTCATATCGTTTGCCTATTTTTCAGTATTTTAACTACTTTCATCCCATCTGTTGGACTTACAGACTTGGTGAAGTTCAGAGCCTGGGTTTTTATCATCTGTAACAACTGGACTTGCTTTCCTCATGCATAACAATGTTTCCTCAGTTTGTGGCAATCAAGAAAATCCAAACCAAAAACAAACCCATTGCTGAATCTAGCAAGGGTTTAAAAGATGACAAACTACATATAAACCTCCCTTCCATCCGCCACACACAAATTGGCAATTTTTCATACCCAGAGTAGAGCTTAAGGGCTTGATAGACACAAGCAACCTCTTCCTGTTGTGGGTCCCAATGTACTATAAAGTACTTTTAGATTCATTATCTCACTGCTCAAAGCAGCCTAGTGAGCTAAGGGGGATGGGTCTTTCAGCAGTGATCTTTAGACCCTGGGCAAGGTTTCCCTAAGCTATCACAAGAAGCAATCTCAGGTATGGTAAAGGGTCTTGTTCCCATTTTACAAATTAAGAAACTGAGGTTCAGAGAAGGGACTAGACTAGCCTCACTTGCAGTATGCTAGTGGCAGAGCGGGAGCTGGCATCTGCTTGATAAATTGTCGAGGTAGGTATTCCATTTAATGATTTTCAGAGGGAATTGGAGTTTTCGTATATTGTCCGTTCTATCATATGTTAAAATGAACAATGATGATGCTTTCTTGCATCTACATTTACCACTTTACAAATATTTTTGAATGCCTACCATATGCTGGGCACTGGGGTAGGCTGGCAATGCAAGCTGAAGATGTACAGTCCCTGGTCTTGTGGAGACAGATGGTGATTGCACACAGGGTAAGGGAAACGAGGAGAAGTGCAGGGCCCAAAGAAAGCACATGACAGACAGGAGGAGCCCCCCTAGCCTGAGGGCTCAGGGAGGACCTTTCTGAAGAAGTAGGTTTAAGCTGAGACCTAAGGAAGAAGAGTCAGCTAGGTGAGCAGAGCCATGGGAACAGTGTTCCCAGCAGAGAGGGAACAACATATGTGAAACCTGGGTGGGGGCAGGGAGAATAAAGGACTTTTGAGAAAGAAAAAGGAGTTCAAGAGAGTTAGAGGCTGGAGACCAAGGGTGAAAGTGATAAGAGGCAAGGCCGGGCTGATCCTGCAGGGCCTTGTAAGCCACACCAAAGATTTGAAACTTGACCTTAGAGGGCAGTGGATGCTGTTGAAGCATTTTACCCAAGGGAATATCATAATTCAGGTTTACATTTTAGAAGAATCACCCTGGCGGGTGAGTGGAGAATTGACAGTAGGAGATGAGTAGTAGCAGGGAGACCAGTTCAGAGGCTGTTGTGGCTGTCCAGGAAGGAGATGATGGTGACTGGGGCTGAGGCTATGGCAGTAGGGCAGAGAGAAGTGGGAAGTTGGGCAGCACATGTAAGATGTTACACCAGATAGACTTGGAAGGTGAGTGGATATGGAGAATGCAGACCAATCCGGGCTAAACAGCTTCCTTGGACAGAATGAGGCTGAGATATTTTTGTGAACGGATGGTTGAATGACTCAAGGCCTCCTCTTACTCCTCTCCAAAACAGGAACAGTGGTAGTTTTCCTATTGAGGTGCTTAAGAGGACATTTTCATGAGCATTAGTGATAGGTCAACTCTTGACATTTTAAGCAACTCTGCTTCCAAAAAATCAGCCATTGAAAACCCTATAGAGCACAGTTCTACTGTGACATGCGTGTAGTCGCCATGAGTCAGTCAATTCAGTATTACTGTTTTGTCTAATTTAATTTTAGCTGTTAGCCTTGTTAATAATAAATGCCTGATGACTATTATGTAGTTTTGGGATGTCAGGCAACACTGATAGTTCTGTTGCTTGGATTTGGCTGTGCAGGGGTAGAAGGTGAGTTGGGATTTTAAATTTCCTTTCAACTTCTTTATGCCTCAGATTTCCTGAATAACTGAGAAGTTATAGTGGATATTTTTTAAATATCCTAAAAATGGAGACGTGAAGGGGATTAAAATATTTATATATGTATTACCAATTTATTAGCAATGTGATGTTTTATAGAAAGTAAATATTTATGCATCAAAGCCGGTCATTTAGCCACTCATTTTTTAAATTATCATCTAATGTTTTGAACTATGCCCTTGCAGCTGTGTAAGAAATGATAGCAATAAGATGTACACAAGAAAAAAGGATCTTCTGGTAACTGATATGGCATATATAATTTTGCGACAACAGCAGCAACAACCAAAAAATATATGTGCAGATATATATATGTATGTATGTATACAGATACGTATATAGGTGTGTATATGTAGGTGTGTCTGTATGTATATTCATATATGTGTATACATGCATATATATAGTAAAACACACACGGGGCACTGTTGTGCATACTTTTTAGATGTAACCAAACACCTTCAGGATTGTTTTCTGGGTTTGAAGGCTTACGACCATAGTCTCATGGGATAACTCGGTCAGTTGTCATAATATAGTTCATAAAGTTTCTGTTCTGCATCGTATTCTGATGAGTAGTGTCTGGGATTTTAAAAGCTTGCAAGCAACCATCTAAGATAGAACACAACTGTTGGTCTCTAAGAGATAGAAGGAAACCCAAGATTCAGAGAAGAAGCTAGTCTGTAGGACTATCTGCACAAACCACGGCCTCATCTACCCTGAGACCAGAAGAACTAGATGGTGCCCAGCTACTGCTACTGATTGTTCTGATCAGGGCTACAATAGATGGATTCTGATAAAATGGGAGAAGAATGTGGAACAGAACCTCAAATTCTTAAAAAATCCAAATTTACTTGAGTGGTTGAGACCAGAGGACTACTTGAGACTGTTGCCCTGAGATATTCTTTAAAACTTGAACTGAAACTATCCCCTGAGGTCACCTTTTAGCTAAATAACAGATTGACTTACAAAATAAAGAATAGCACCAGTGAGTACTGCACTCACTTATAAAATCATCTATATGAGATCAAATGGTCAATAATTACTTAAGAAAGATGAGAAGATAAGGGGACAGGGAAGTTAGATTACTGGACGTGGAACAACCAGAACAGAAACAATGAGAATGTTTGTGCATTGTGAAGAATAAAACCAATGTCACTGAACAATTTGTGTAAAAATTGTTGCATGGGAACTTAATCTGCTGTGTAAACTTTTACCAGAAACACAATAAATTATTATTTTAAAATAGTAATAATAAAATCAAAAAATGAAAGGGGGAAAAAACAAATGGTGCCAAGGGGGTGATGGCTTCCTGATTTGTCCTAGTGATGAGATGTGGAAGGTGTGTCAGTCTGTGATCTGTTTCTAGGAAGTACCATTGATTAGCTGGAAATAACATTTGACTGCATAGTAATGGAGTCCTGATCCAGTGGATTAAACACATGAGGGTTTATTTTTCTCAGAAAATTCAGAGCTAGTGGGTACTGACATTGGCTTAGTGGCTCAAGGATATCAGAGCTGAGTTCTCTGTGATTCTCTAGGCCTTTCCTTCATGATTGCTACAGAGGTGGCCATTACCTGCACATTCCAGGTAAGAAGAAGGAAGGAGAGAGGAAGGATAATACAGTGCATCTTCCAGCTGAGTTAGTCCCCTTTAAAGAGTGTATCCATCAATTCCTTATTTCATTGGCCGTCCTTATGAGTAAAGGAGGCTGGAAAATGAAGCTTGCTTGCTTGCTTTTTTTTTTTTTTTTTTTAAGTCTCAGGGCATTGTTATCCCAATAACAGAGGGGTTCTGTAAGGAAGGAAGGGGGAGAGAATAGAGACTAGGTGTGCAACTGATAGATGCTTCCACAAACATACAGTCCCCAAATAAAGTCCCCCCTTTTTTGTACACATTTTTGTTCCGCGCAGGCCATTGGAAATGCTAAAACCACTCGTAATGACAACAGCAGTCGCTTTGGAAAGTACATTCAGATTGGCTTTGATAAAAGGTACCACATCATTGGGGCCAACATGAGGACCTACCTGTTGGAAAAGTCCAGAGTGGTCTTTCAGGTGAGTGGTGTGAGTTGGGCCTTTTTGAAGGTTTTCCCACGGATAATGCCCTCACTTTCTCCCTCCCCCACTTCCTATGCCCAAATTGCATCTCATCTTCTGAGACTGGAACAGGATGTACTTGTTCTTTTGGTTTTCTTTCATCCAGAAATATTCATTCAAATAATATAGGCATTGGACCACAAAAAAATATTTTATCCAGCCTTGTTTAAGTGGAGTATTCTGTTTAGATTTAATCAACAAACATACGTTGAATTCCTGTTAAGTGCTGGCTCTGTGCTACACACCGAATATACAGTAATGGATAGGACAGTCCTTTTCCTCATGGAGTTTGAAGTCTTAAGATCAGGGGAATGTCATAGATAATAGAGCCTGTGGGTTTCAGCTTTTGCCAAGAACCTTACTTGGTAGTTTATTTAAAAAAGAAAAAAAAAAATGCCTTGCCACCTACTTAGTTTCCTTTTTCAAATAAATGGAGTTCCTGCTTCTCACCTGACCTGATTCTTCATTGCTGTCTATCCTCTGTGCTTACCTCCTACCGCTCCTTCCCAACTACTCTCTTGGCCTCTCTTCGACCCTCTTCTCAGCCCTGGGTGATGGTCATTGCAGCTCACAATTCCAGAACAGTCCTCCTCCAGAGGTTGGCTCCCTGTTGACCTCCCATCACTGAACTAAGATTATGGCCATGTCTGGTCTGCCCCACACTCGTTCTTCCCTTGAGTTTAATGGTTTTCTGGTCCTCACAGTTCAGCTGCCTTCAGAGGTGATATCAGAATCGCTGTTTGTTTCTCTGTGACTCCTGTCTCCACACTGATGCTTAGTAAATAAGAAATTTTTTAGCCCGCTTTATTCTTTTTTTTTTTTTTCTTTTTTACTCCGGCTTTCTCTCTTCTTCAAAGGTTTGGTGACAGCCCCAAGTCCTCCGCTCACTGCAGCAAAGGGGACAGCCTGCTCTGCTGGGTGCAGTTTGGGTGGGCTGATCGAGGTTCTGGCCAGACTCTTCCTGAGCAAACCCTTGATCTCTGCTCTTCCTCCTCCTCCGCCCTCTTTGCTTAGTCCTCCTGGACACCCCTAACCACTTAGCCATTTTAAGGCATGTCTAGCTGCACGTGTCCACTATAAGTCCTGTCTCGGCCCTGAGCCTTTCCCGACTGCTCCAGCATGACTTGATAGTCAAGGGAGTGTAGTCTTACTTGGTTCCAAGCCTCTCAAAGGAGAAAAGGAGCTTACAGCAGGGAAATTACAGAAAATAAATACAGAAAATCTGCATGAGTACTTGTTGATTGACCCACCATTTGTGGAATAGCAATGACGTTCTATATAGAAGGAAAAATAAAACACCTTGTTTGCATAAGTCTATTTCAAGAGGTAGAAATCCTCAGGTTGGAAGAAGGACCCATAATAGTGAATGAAAAATCTGGATGAGGGAGTTTTGCAAGGTGGTTAGAGGGGTGGAGGAAAACAACAGGAAAAGCAGGCTCTGCCTCCACCACCTGAAGCACCTTGGGATTAAAATGGGGGAGGGGATGATCTTGAAGGTCACTGCCCTAATAGAACTGCTTAACCTTTCTCCTCCTTCAGGCAGACGATGAGCGGAATTACCACATCTTTTACCAGCTCTGTGCTGCTGCCAGTGTTCCGGAATTTAAGGAGCTTGCCCTAAGTGAGTAAGCAGGTGTATGCCAGTCCTCTGGGTGGGCTGCTGCAGCGGGTGGTGCAGGTGGAGGTTCTGCTCAAAGCCCTCAGTCGTGGGTTCGTCTCAGCTCTTCCTGGAACGTGGGCACGCCACCTAGATCTCTCTGAACCTTGGCTCCCCAATTAATAAAACAGGGTTAATGATTCCCAGGCCATCTGCCACAGAAAACGTTTGATGGGATAAGAGGCAGGGGGTGGAAGAGTATTCTGCAGAGCATAAAAGACTTTGCATGCATTATGATTTTGAAAGACATGTTTTTCCCTTTAGGCATCATAAGAAATGTGTTCTTACCATGAGGATCTAGAGATTTATCTAATACACATCACTTAATTGTGACTGACATGTTTTGTGTCCTAGTTAAGGACTGGGACAACCAAAAACAAAGAAGGAAGGTAATAGAGATAGTGCAGGGATAAAGGAGGGCTGGCTGGAGAGGCGTATGGGTAAACACAGGCATTGCCACAGAAAATAGCGGGCACTTAGAATAGTGCAGCTCTGGACTGCTGAGCATTAGCCAGCTAACAGTGCTGTCTCATCTCCCCTGAACAGGCCGGGAACCTCATAGCACCCCTATACTTGAGCACTGGAGGGAAGGAAATGGAGCTACCAAAGGGACTCTAATTGGGGCACCGGGATGAGTCACCTTGTTGTTCACATCAGATAGAAAGGCGGCCTTTCAGTGGGTCAGCATCTCCCTTTGTTTCCTCTAATGCCCTTTGCTGAGGAGTGTTAGCAAGCTTAACTTATCTTGAGGCTGTTGACATGGAGCCAGTAGAGTTGAGAGCCCCAGGGCAAAGCAAGTATAGCAAGCAGGCCTTAGTTCTTAACATCATACCGATACAGCACCTTGCCTTGGGGCCTGGAGCGTGTTTCCCCGTCTGTGTGAGGGGGCTTAATCATGGAGCATTGACTGACACCTGCTGCTAAGACCTCAAAGCCTGCTCTATCACGGGTGTGTGATGAGGGAAGCTGGAGGCCGAGCATCCTGTCCCTGGCCGGCCCGAATGGAAGGGCTGGATATCTAGACAGAGGTTGGCTGGTCTTTGTGTGACTGTGAGAAAAACAGACTTTTGAGACTTTGCTCTCCCTCACCCAAATCCTAGACATCTTAAAGGCCCAGTACTAGACCCACCTCTGACCACTCCAGCCTGTGCTGTCAGTAGTTAAGATACATCAAGTGGTTCGAACACAGGTCTGCCCTCTTCATTCTCTACTTTATTGCTTACGAATTCCTATAGCATTTAGTGCCTGCACCATGCAGTTCAGCATTTGTTCCTCTGTTTGTCAGAATTTTCTAAGGCCATGTTAAGCTCTGGGGATGCAGCATTGAATAAAACAGGTGTGGTTCATGCCCTCACTTAGCTTACAGACAATAATTACAATTCAGGGTGATAGGGCTATGCTGAATGAAACATAGTGGAGGCAGGTCAGAGGTTCCCATAGGGAGTAATACTTAAATTGGAGTCTGTTTTATTTATCTCATGCTGCTATAACAGAAAAACCACAAGTGGGTGGCTTTAACAAACAAATTTATTTTCGAACAGTTTAAGGGGCTAGATGTCCGAATTCAGGGCACTGGCTCTAGAGGAAGGCTTTCTCTCAAGTGGGCTCTACGGTAAGGTCCTTGTCTCTTTTCAGCTTCTGTTTCTTGGGTCCTTGGAGATCTCATGTGGTGTGGCATCTGTCTTCCCTCATCTGTACTTGCTTGCTTAATCTGCTCTTTTAGATCTCAAAAGAGATTGATTTAAGACATACCTTACGTTAATACTGCCTCATTAACATAACAAAGAAAGCCCATTTCCAAATGGGATTGTAACCACAGGTGTAACCTGTTGCCATCAAGTCAATTTGACTCATAGTGACCCTATAGGACAGAGTAGAACTGCCTCATAGGGTTTCCAAGGAGTGCCTGGTGGATTTGAACTGCCAACCTTTTGGTTAGCAGCCATAGCTCTTAACTGCTACACCACCAGGGTTTCCAACCACACGGATAGGGGTTAGGATTTACAACACATACTTTGGGGTGGCACAGTTCAGTCTATAACAGACCCCAAAGGAGAAAGCTCTGGATGACATAAAATGCGGTTTTGTACTGTTCTCTAGATGTTCAATACTTGTAAGTCTGATTCTTCCCAGCAAAATTGCAAACCTCTCAAGGACAAGGAGTGGATGTTAACTGCTAAGCAGAGCAGGGAAAGAGCAGTCCTTGGTGGTGAGGAGCGCCCTGAGCCGGGGGCTTGTGGCTCTGCTGTTGGTGTACAGCCACAAGTGGCTGGGAAGACAGGCCACAGAAAGGGCCACTGCCATCCTCCTCTTTCCTTCCCAGAGTGGGGGTGGAGGCCCAGGTGGGCCTTTCAGGGTAAACGTGTGGAAGGTGGGATTTTATTTATAAGGTGAGTTTTATAGGAAAGGTACAAATCTGGCAAGACTCATCGGGCTATACTTGGACGATTTTGTTTCAGATGTAACTTTAAGGTAGTAGGCTAGAAGTCCTCCACTTGCCTGGGTGTACTGAGGTGAAAAAGGACTTTTCCTTATATGCCTCTTTGAGTTACAAACTCCTTGGGCCTCCAACTGGAGCAGTTGAAAACTATCTAGTTTAATCAATTTCTTGTACTCTTTTACCTGCATGTCCCTTCCAGAGCATCTAGGTGTGAAATGAAGAGCCTTTGATAAGCTCTTGTGCCCTAGCGGGAGGCTGTCTTTGGCCTGTGGGTGAATTGGTTGTGAACCCTGAAGCTTAGAGTTCTGTTCCACTGGTGACTCTAGACGAGTAGCTGGAAACATCAAATAAATGAAGGCCTAGCCGGTGGCTCTAAGTAGATATTTAGACCTGCCTTGCATCCTTCCCCCTCATCTTCACCTACATGCTGTTTAAATACACAGAAGCCTCTGCAAGACCCCTTGGCCCAGCATGAGTTTTGTGCCTTTTTCCTTTGAGTGGAGGGAGTAGATTGGCATCCAGGCATATCCACACTCCTCCTCTGCCCCATCACTGTGGCATTCAAAATGACCTCCTGATGAATGAAAATTAAAAAATAAGTCTAAAGGCTAACTTGTTAGAATATGAATAAACAATTGTAAAAACCATACAGGTGTAATGGGCTCATTTTCCCTTAAATACAGCTTTAGGTACGAAGGCATAAATACCCGTTGTTCTTTTTCACTTACACAGGTGTATTGATACAGTTTTATAAGTAAACCAACCTCTCTGGCCTTGCATAGGTCAAAGTATAGCCGCCTCAGGTGGAACACAAGCCCATGACCTTGGCTTTGACAGTCCAGAGCGCTGATCACAGGGTTTGCTCCCCTGTGTGGTCTGTACAGTCTGATCCAAGAAGTTGCTCTCGGATACAGTGGTTAGTGAAGGCTTCATGGGCCTGATGGGAGAGGTGAGATCTGTCAGGCAAAGAAGGTGGAGAAGACTGACTACATCCTATTCATGTCTTACCAAAAGGGTCTGGAGAGGGATGTTAGCAGAGTTTGCTGGAGACCTTAAATCAGATGGAAAGGAGCTGGTGATTTTGATTGGGTTCACATCATTAAATAGAGAATGTTGCTTACTGACCCAGGTGGCCCCTACAGTGATTGAGTCTCAGCCTGAAGGAGGTAACCAGCTGGGTCTGCATTTGGGAGCTGGAAGCAGGGAAGGTGCAGTGATCTGACTGAACACCAGGCAGAGAGGCCCTGGCTGTTGACAATGAAGGGTCTTTGATAGATGCTGAAAATTCCTTCTTTGCTTCCAGATGGAAGTCTAATTTCTCCCTTAGGGGTCTTGTGTGGCTATCTTTCTGTTGTGTTTGGCTGACACTTTTGATATTAAGTTGTTGTTAGTTGCCGTTGAATCGGCTCTGACTCATGGCAACCTTATGGATGACAGAAGGAAATGTTGCCCAGTCCTGTGCCATCCTCATGATCGTTTGAGTCCATTGTTGTGGCTGTTGTGTCAATCCATTTTACTGAGGGTTTCCCTTGTTTTCATTGGCCCTCTACTTTACCAAATGTGATGTGCTTTTCTACGATTGGTCTTTCCTGATGACATGTCCAGAGTAAGCGAGCCAAAGTTTTGCCATCCTTGTTTCTAAGGAACATTCTGGTTGTATTTCTTCTAAGACTGATTTGTTCATTCTTCTGACAGTCCATTGTGTATTCAGTATTCTTCACCAACACCACAGTTCGAATGCGTCATTTCTTCTTCTGCATTCTTTTTTCATTGTCAAGCTTTCGGATATATATGGAGCAATTGAAAAGACAATGGCTTGGGTCAGGTACACATTAGTCTGAGTTGTGTTTATGGTGGCAAAGTCATGTGATTTCATAAACAATCATCTCCACAATAGGGTGATCAAGTAATGGGCTTCCAAACCTCGCAAAACCTTGGGTAAACCAGGGCACCATGTTAAAGCCTTATATTTCTCAGTCTGGCTGTCTGAAAAAATGGGAATAAATAATATATTCACTCTTCCTCATGTAGACACTGTAAAATCACCAAATTAGGTACTTTGAAAAGTTGAGTGTAAAGGGAAAAAAAGAAATTACGCTTTTATTAAGCCTTTGAAACTGCTATATTGCTCTCTGCCAGAGCTTGCAGAGTAATTAGATATGAAAGAATTAAATATGCTATCTTAGCTTTCTGCACAGCTGCTAAATGATGAGGGTACCAGAGGCACCATCTGCCACGTGGCAGGGTGCGGGTGGCAGAGCCCCCAGACCCCATAGTGAGGCTCTTCAAGATGCAACAAAACCTTAGTTTTGAAGATGTGTAAAGGTCATCGTGATAAATGTTTTCCAAAAATTTGTCAAAGAGGCTGGCTATGAAAAAAGCCATTGAGATCACAACTGCATGTTACAAGTGGAACCAAAAGTTACATGCTGTAGGTAGCTGTGGATGGCTGTTCAGGTTCTTAGCCATGGTATTTAAGAATTCTTCATTGCCTCAAGTGTGGCATGCAACATTTTGGAAGGAAAAATCAAGAACTGGTCATGAAGACAGATGAATAGAAGCAAGTGAAAATAATATTTTATTTGACATTGATAACCTTATCTCACAATAATAAATTATGTAGAAAATTTTGACTACTTACTATTTTATTTGCTGGACAATAAAGCCTGTTTTCTTTAAAATATAAAAATAAATAAATACGCTGTCTTACACCAAGATGTAATGTGATTTTCTTCATAAAAATTCAAAATTCACCTCCCCTATGGCTACGAGTGCGCACAGGGCTGAAGTCCTTCCTCTCCCAGTTCAAGCCTTGTCCTCCAATCATGAAGGTATGTTTAAAGTATGTTTAAGGCTTCCTCAAGGAAGCCTTCCCTCATAAAATACAGCTGATATTCTGATTATTCATTCCCATGGGCAGTGTGCTTGGTGTTAAGGGCCCAGGCTGTGCAGAGTCACACTGGAGTTTAGAGCTGAGTTCTGCCACTTCCTAGCTGGCCCGGGCAATGTGTGCTTAGTAGGCTGGAGGAATTGGTGAACTTCAATATACCTTGGTGCATAGGATGCAAGGTGGAGGGTAGAGCTGATGAATGACAGTAAGGAAACCAATGCATATGGAAGGTAGAGATGGGAAGAGACAGCATAAGGCATGAGTCTGGAGTGGCAAGAGGAGGCCACTTTACATAGCATCCAGGAGACTATTCTTGAGGGCAGTGGAGGCAGAAGGGATCTCTAAAGGACTTTAAGCAGAAGAGTGGTATCATCAGAGTTACGAACACTTTGGAGGTGGATTTGAAGGAACAGGAGCAAAGGCAGGGAGACCAATTTAGGAGTGGAGTCTTCTGCAACCATCCTCAGGCAACAAATGCAGAAGATTGGACCCAGGGAACTGAAAATCAGGATGGAAAAATGAAGAACTCAAGAAATTCTTAGATCAAATTGGGAGGATCAGGTGTGGAAGGAGGAGTGGGAATTGCAATGAAGTTGTATCCTAAGCACATTTAACTTTTGTGCATTCATCCATACATGTTCAGGTCAAGAGAAGATAATTTTACCCATGTTTTCAAGGGTAATTTTGATTATGTGCAGTTGTTGCCTTGAATGTTGACTTCTGAGCCCAGGCCCCCCACAAGAGCCGGTTCTGCTATCCTCCCTGTAGCCATAGATACTGCCCTTTGCTACAGTTGCCTCTGAATTCTAAGACACAGCCTGAGCCCCTCCTTTCCATCCATCCCAAAGGCTGTTAGCAAAGACTGAAGAGGAATTAAGCCGGGGGATGAGAGCACACATGTGAGGGTCTTAACCTGCATTCGTGCATGTACTTCAACACTTCAGGTGTGCCCCGACTGTGTAGAAAAAGAAACAACCAAGCAAAAAACACATGGTGTCCAGATTTCTATGACTTGTCAAATGAGGTTATCAGACTAGTATTATCCAAGATCATGGAAATCTGTGATTCTAGGGTGGGTATACATTTTACTTGTGTTTATCAGATCCTATTTTAAAACAAGTCTATAGAGAATCCTATTGTAAATTGAACTAGTCCATGACTTATCTTGTACATTAACGTGTTTTTCACATACCGGTTTTATATAAATACGGCAACACATTCTGTCAGTGTAGTTTTATTTTCTGTCTTGTATTATTCAGTCGTCTTCTCTCCCATTTGCCATTGTGGACAAAGAGGATATTTTGAAGGATCCCACTTATGGCTAGGAATAAAATTTGGTATGGGATCAGCATGCTAAGGAAGCAGAAATCCTCACGGGTCATTATCTGCAAGAAAACCAAGGGATGAAGCTTTCTTTCTGATGACTTATGCCTTCCTTGCCTACCACAGCATGTGCCGAGGACTTTTTCTATACATCCCAGGGAGGAGACACGTCCATCGAGGGTATAGATGATGCTGAAGACTTTGAGAAGACTCGACAAGCCTTCACCCTTCTCGGTAAGGAGCTTCTGGATGGGGGAAACAGGCTTGAAGGATTGACTTCATGGAGACTAGGAAGGCAAGACGGTGTCGCGCTGTGCTTGCCAGTCTTCACGAGCTTATGAGGATTCCCTCTTGCCCTTGGTGAATGTCTTCTTAACTCTCTTTTCCATCCAAACTGTCAGACCCCAAAGCTTTAGGTTCAGAGCTTTGTTGGCTTTTCTTTAAGGGTTTGAGAGTTAGTCTTCAGGTACTACAGAGTGTCCCTTTTCACTCCCTCAGGCCATTGAAGCCAAAGGAGGAAAACCAAGCGTAGCCATGTCTGTCCATGCTGTGGTGTGGATTTAGAGAAATTGTGCTCTAGCAAAAAGAACACTCCATCGGGACCGAGGCACTGATGTACCACAGTCATGGGATCAGAGTTTTAAGCAGACTGTAAAAGTCTGATAGCTTTGTGACACATACGGGTGTTATTTCTGTTAACTTGGTTTCCGTGTGGAATTCTCAAAACAACAAGATCCCTTTTCAGGAGAAGAAGGGGAGAGTAGAACTCGAGAAAACCTCCCCCCCTCCTCTGCGAATTTTGGGGAGGAAGAGCCCTAAGTGGTATGGTAGATGGTGAGCGTTTCTTACCTGAGAAAATGAAGTAATAAATTCCTGGAACCTGCAGCAGAAAAAAGATTTGGGAAGTCAGCCTAAAACCCAAGAAGTGGCTCAGAAATTAGACCCTTGTGTTTTTCCCGGCCCCTTCCCTGACAGAGACAGACGTTTGGCTTCTGGGCCATGTGATTAACCCAGAGCGGCATTTCTTAGCTTCTTTTGTGGCAGTCAGGGAAGTTTAATGTCCAAGTAAAACATGGCCAAACAGGATATGCTGTAGTCTCTGTGTAGGGATTGGGAGAGCATGGCTTGAAGGAACAGCTGGAGCTCATGTTTGAGGTTGCTGGGATCTACAATGAATAATGATAATTATGGAATATCAGAACTAGGAAGGGAAATGTCTTTCTGCTGTTGTCTCCTTGCAAAGTCATTCTAGCACCCTCTATTGATGAAGCTTGAATTCTATTAGCTGGCAAAGGAAGTGTTTACACGATCCAGCTCCACTATTCACAAAGCAGAGCAAAGAAGGGTGGATTTGAAGCTGAGAAATGATAAATTGATTTAACTGGCATTCCTGACATCCCTAGCCCCAGCATTACATACCTGTTTTATTCTCCAGAGTTGGTAAGCAGGTGTAGAGGAGACTTGATGTTGAGCAGGACAGCATTCTGCCCAGCTTGTCAGAGAAAGGAGAAGGCCCATGTGGCTGACCCTATAATACAAGTGTGAGCAGTGAGTGTAAGCTGATATAGGGAGAAGGTGGCTCCCTGTAAGCCTCTAAGGAGACTGGGTACTTTAATTCTCAAAGCAAATGGCATTTGTAAAATAGATTATTTTAGTAAGACTTTTCTTGCCTACTCTTTAATAAACATGTCCATTCTTTTACTCAAGGGGTTGGCAAACTTTTTCTTAAAGGACAAGATAGTAAACGTTTTAGGCTTTGTGGGCCATAGGGTTTCTGTTGCAATTACTTAACTCTGCCATTGTAGCACAAAAGTGGCCACAGACAAAATGTAAACAAACGGGTGTGACTTTGTTCTAATAAAATTTTATTTACAAAAGCAGCCTGTAAGCCAGGGGCTAGAGGTTGCTGACCCTTGTTTTACTCCTTTGATTTTATTGTTTGTTTTATTTTGGTTTTTTGCTTCCCATTATGAGGTATTGCTTATTCAGAGAGGTATTGCTTATTCAGAGAATCCCGTATTAACAAGGACTTTGTCTGGTCAGTGCACTGCAGGGATCCTTAACTATTGTTAGGATGCAATATTCATTCAATACCTACTACTTAAATTCCTACCATGACGGGGGCGGGGGGCGGGGGAGGGTTAGATCTTTGGAATTAGCAAAGCATTGCTTTGTAAGAATGAGTGAAGGAGAGAGATAAGTCGCTGCCTAAGTGGTATATGGAGACTTGCTGGCACAGTGCTTAAAAGCTCAGCTGCTGACCAAAAGGTTGGCAGTTTGAATCCATCAGCCGCTCCTTGGAAACCTTCTGGGGCAGTTCTACTCTGTCCTGTAGGGTCGCTGTAAGTTGGAATTGACTTGACGGCAGTGGGCTTTTTGGTTTAAGTGGTATATCGCCCTTGACTTTTTAGCATCCCAGCACCCACTTTTAATGGGACTCACTTGAGAGTCAGGACACTCTAAGATCTGATCAATGGCAAGCAAAGCCCAGCGTTTTACTCCCTACAAGGGTACACAACTTCCTGTCTTGTCCTAGGTACTAGTCTCTGGCTGTAACCTGTCTTCCTTCACCAGTCTTATTTGGTTACATTGAACAAGAATATATGCCTAAATTCTTTGTCCTCTGGCTATTTTTTTGGATTATTAAAATTCAATAAAAAGTTGAAGAAAAGAATGGGCTAAAACCAGGTATTTTAACGATGCATATATTTACGTAGATATTTGCAAGGACTTGCAGTCTGTGTAACAGCCATTAATTCAGCCATTCCAT